GCATATCATAGACATAATCTGCACCCCCATCTCTGATCCCTCATCCCTGCATAGGTACCCTTCAAGGTACCCTGAGGTCTGGCCTCCATCCTAACCCCATGATACAGCTGCCTGGCACTGCTACAATGTTCATGATCATCCCAGAACTATTGAAATGTTCACTGAAAGCAGACAATTTTTTCCTTTGGTTTTAGAGACAGGGTCTCACTATGTAGCCTTGTCACTCAATCCTACTGTACTGCCTCAGCCTCCCAAGTGCTGGGATTACAGGTAAGGACCACCACTCTCAGGTTTATCATCGTGCTTTACTTTTGCACTGAGTTTCAATTTTCCTTTTTTTTTTTTGTTTATTCATTTGTTATTAGTGCATATGCATGCATGTGTGCGTGCAAGCATGAGTGTAGGTGTGTGCATGTGTGTATGCATGCATGTATGTGTGTGCATGTGTGCCTATGTATGCATGTGTGTATATGTATATACATGTGTGTGTATACATATTTGTATATGTGTGTATATGTGTGTGTGTATGGCTAAGGGGGGGCATATGTACCACAGCATGTGTGTGGAGGTTAGAGGATGATTTTGTGGGGTCAGTTCTCTCTTTCCACATTTTCAAAGGTTTTGAGGATTGAACTCAGGTTGAGCTTCCATGATGTGACTAGTGATTTACTCACTGAGACACCTTGTCTTTTGTTTTGTTTGTTTGTTTGGTTGGTTGGTTGGTTGGTTGGTTGGTTGGTTTTTCGAGACAAGGTTTCTCTGTGTAGTTCTGACTGTCCTGTCCTGAAACTCACTCTGTAGACCAGGCTGGCCTCGAACTCAGAAATCCACCTGCTTCTGCCTCCCAAGTGCTGGGATTAAAGGCGTGCACCACCACCGCCCGGCTTGTTTGTTTTTTTGTTTTTTGTTTTTTCTTTCTTTCTTCTGTTCTTTATGTCCTGATATACAAATTCAGGTTAATTATATTCCTTGGCTTGTGACTTGGTCCCAATCATGGGTCTTGGAGGTGCTAAACAAAAATAGTCTGACTCCTTACAGTAACCCAGTTAGCAGCCATTGCTCCATTGTGCAGATGAGCAAACTGAAGCTCTGAGGGGTGAAGCAATTGTCCTTTGTATGTGGATGTGTGTGCTGGGGGTTGGACCTGGGTTATTGAATTGTGCTGGGGCTCTGTCTCCTGCTCCCAAGCAAATTACTTAAGGCCACATCCTTATAAAGGACAGGGCTGGGATTTGAACCCAGGCTGGTTTGACTCAGTGCTTGTGCCTTTAGCTATTCTGTTATGCTCTATCCTTGACCCAGACAGGAGGCAGAGGCTGGAAGAGTAGGTGACACCGACATGAAGATTCCAGAGATACCCCCAGGAGAAGGAGCCAGGGACGAAGAGGATGCATGAGGTAAGCGGACACAGGACAAGGGGACACTCACTGCGGGCTACAATCTCGCCCTGGAGATGGTACCGGGCCAGATCAAGTATCCAGAAGACGCCATAGTCCAGAAAGACCAGGAAGAGGACGAGGAGGAGATGTCGGGCGAGATTAAAGGTCTCCATGATATAAAGAATCTGTTCCCATTGGGTCAGGAAGATGGAGCCTGAGGAGTAGTTGGTCAGAAGTGTGTTCCCCAATTCTCCTGCCCATGTATCGCAGCTCTGGGGAGGCACCTGCTCTTATCAAGATCAGCTTAGTTTAACTGCTCACCCAGAAGGCAGACAGTAAAGAGACTGTGGGGACCATGGGAAGGTGGGGAGCATTCTTCAGGGGTGGGGCTTGATGGTTAAATGGAAAAGCCTTGCAGCTTTACCTGGGATAAGTATCTCATCCCTGGGCCCCTCTGTGCTTGCTCGACTCCTACCTCCTCGGCAGTCCTCCTTTCCGTATTAGGATGTCCACCCCTCTTGCCTTCACCTCAGAAAGCCTTCCAACCTCACATCACCGCTCCATGTTGTTCCGTGTGTCTCCATCTCAGCAAGAAGTCATCTCTCCTCCCTCTGGCCCCCGGCATGCTCCCCAACAGTCAGGCCCGGGCTGCTCCAGAGCCCTTCCTTCCTGTCCTCAGCACCCTCACCTGGCTGGATGTAGACACTGGCCTCATGAGAACTGAGTGGGAGCACTGTGGGCAGCCCTGCCATGGAGCGCACCGCCTCCATATCCAGGAAGCGCCTGGTGATATACACATTGTCGAAATTGTCCCAGTTCAGGTAACCGTACCGGTAACACAGGGCTCTGAGAAGAAGCACATATGAGAGCCCTTGGTTCTTTTTACCAGACCTCCAGGTACTCCAGGCTATGCTTTCCTGCCAGTTCCCCTCCCTTCACCCCCAAGATGCCACGGATAGCTAGCCCCACAGCCCATCTCTCCCACAGGCCCTTGGTAGACCCTCACTGGAGGTAGAGAAGTCCAAAGAGCAGAGGCATGGTGTAGCCCATCATAGACAGGACCTCCCTGGCAGTGTACAGCTTCATGCTGACAGCCTCTTGAAGGTCCAAGGCAACCTGGGACAGGCTCCGAGAGGAATTGAGGTCCACAGAGAAGTGGTGGGTGGCTGTCATGTTGAACTCAAACTCCCGACGTACCCGATTGAGCAGCTTCATTACGGCTGGGACCAGTGGGGTCAGAGGGGACGTGAGCCAAGATAGTTGTTGGGAGGACAGAGGAGCGTGGGGTGGGGGCTGTCCAGGTCCAGCAGTTGCAGGACTCACAAACCAGCTACAGTTCCCAGAGCCCAGACCGACTCTAGGAAATAGTGACACCTTCCAGACACACAGCACTAGACTTGGCCTAAGGCTTCTGCTTCATCACGAGTGAGCCATGACCTACGCTCTGGTGGGAGGCCCTGTTCCTCCCAGCTCACATGACCTGCGCTTGAGCGGGAGGCCCTGTTCCTCCAGGATTCTGCTCTGAAATCCGGCTTTGATGAGGCACCTCCCCCACTCACTGGGCCTCAGTTTCTCAATCACCTCAGCTTAGACATTAGTCTGGGTGACCCTGCAAACTCCTTTCCTGCTCTTGCGTTCTCACATATGGACGGACTGGGAGATTTGAGCGCCCGTGGCCGCAGTAAGATGAGGAACCAGGAACGGGGAAGGAGGGTCACTTACGGGTTCTGATGGTCCTTCGGAGAAACTTCTGGAGGTATGTGGGGATGACACAGAACTTCTGGATCACTGAGAGCCAGGAGAGCTCAGGGTGAGGGGAGCAGAGATACAGCCTGCCTGCCCGCCTCAGGAGACTTCCTCTCACAGGGCTGTCTGGACTTTCTGCCTTTCCCGTCAATCTCTACATTTGCTAATAGTTTTTGGCCTTTCTCTACTGTGCTTTCTCAGACTCGCTCCTTCCTTACTGCCCACCTTCCCCTCCCTGACCCCAGAATCCTTACGAGCTCCACACTCAACGCCTCTTATATGATCCCCTGTGCCCACCCTTCTGACTGACCCTGCATTCTCACATCCTCCCCACCCCACCCCCATGCTCATGTCTCCTTGCAGGGAACCCCGGCTTTCTCACAGCTGGCCAGTCCACAGAACACCAGTTTGAAGGGCAAGATCACGTAACACAGGTGATGGTATTTCGGCAGGACCTTCATACACTGGTCCTTGGCATCATCAAACAACCGAGTGCATTTTGTGTAAGGGTTGCCCAGCTCGGAGTTGCACACATCACCAATATGAAGGAGCCAATACCACACATTCTGCAGGCACCTGGCTGGGGACAGCTGTGCAGTCAGTACCCCCAGGAAGGAGTTCACCAGCCTTTTTCAGTGACTTGGGTAACACCAACCAAACCCCCCAGAACTGGTCAGGGGTCAGATACACTGTGTAGTGAGACCTGAGCAGGCCTGGAGAGGCACTAGGATAAGGAGACTGGGGGATTGGGACCTCCCAAACCAAACATGCAACACCTACCTACGTGCTTCACGGCATCTATGACGGACCGGAAGAACTTGCGCACCCGGTCAGCCACCACTTTGGCCCTCTGGGCAATAGCTTTAATCTTGGACAGAGCACCTGCGGGACAAAGGGCAACATTGCTGAAGGTGTCTTCCTGCAGGAGCTGATTCTCACCATTTCCTGGGGGGAGGGAATAAGAGGGGGTTATCAGAGCGTCGGGGAGCCAGGGTGCTAAGCTGTGAAAATAACCAAGTAGAGAAAGAGGCTGGAGGGCAGGGGAAGAGGATTTAGCTGGACTGGAACGTGGCTTTCCAGACCCAGCCACTCTTAGGGTAGGACACAGTTCCAGCAGAAAGCAATTAAGCTGAAGGGCAGAAGTCCTGGCAGGATGGGAGCCAGTGGTGGGCTGGGGTGGACCTTACTGACAAGGGGCTGCTTGGCCCGCTCCAGCACTTCAGCCGTCTGGTTCAGTGCCAGCTCTGCCCCACAGGCAACAGCTTCACTTGCCCGGGTGAAGTTGCGCAGAGTGTTCACACAAGGCCCTTGTAGCACCAGCCCAAAGGCAGCCACCAACAGCAGCAACCGGCTCTGCTCTGCGGAGACAGCTCAGTTACAGAGCAGGACCCCTGGCCCCAAGGCAACCAACTAATCCTTAACATGAGTTTTTTACAATACTTTCCTCCCTACCCCAGCCCAGCCCTGCCCCTCTCCCAGGCTCACTGGAGAAGGCCTGAGGTAGCAGCAGGAAGACAGAGACACGGACCTGGCGGGAGAACCCCATGCCCAAGCTAAGGAAGGCAGCCAAAGTGACAGTGGTCACCAGGCAGCCAAAGGGGCTGTGTCCTTCCACTAAAAGCTCAAGGAGCCCATAGACTGTAGCCAAGGACAAGCCCACAGTAAAGCCACAGGTACTTCGGACCACAGCCCGTGCCATGCTGGACCCCTCCTCCTTGGAGGCCCATTCTCTATCAGTTTTGACCATGGCTGCTGGGACCCAATGCCAGTGTGTCTCCAGGACAGGCTTGGAGGTTCTTCAGGTTCTATGGACCTGGAATTCTTCATCCTGTTCTAAGGTTCTGCAGGCTTGTGCTGTGGGCGTGTCTCAGAACCCACTACCCAGTTCTGAGGGCTCACGGAGCTGAGGCGTTGAAGGACACAGGCCAGTCGGGAGCTGTGTGTGAAGCAAAGGACATCGGCGGCATGTCCTTCTTCTCATCAACATTTCACCGCCTGAGAATCTTTGAAAAGATTTCTGGGATAAAAGAGGGTCTCAAGAATTGGCTGCTGGACATTACAAAGCATCAACACAGAGCAGAAGGGCAACAAAGGAAACGGCCCCACACCAGTGAGACAGCCTTCAGATGCCCACCTCTTTCCAGCATCCCCCTCCTGTCCTTGCTCCTCTGCGATGGGGCCATCCACTTCTATCCCTCCTGTCCTCCCTCAGTCCAGCCCTCTTCTCTTCTCCTCCACTTCAGTCTTATTCCTCAGGGTACCTTATTCCTCAGCAGCCCTCTTTCTAGTGTGCTCCATGTCCCCACTACCAGGATTCCCCAGTGTTTGATCCTCTCAAACATCTCAAGAGCTTGGAGCTGGAGAGAGAGCCTAGTGGTTAAGAGCACTGGCTGCATTTCCAGAGGTCCTGAGTTCAGCTCCCAGCACCCACACGGCAGCTTACCACCCTATATAATGAAGTCTGATGCCCTCCCTGGGCCTACATGCAGACAGAGCACTCATATACATAAACTAAGTAAATAATTTGGATAAATAGGGAGGGTTTCAAGATTCTCAAACTTTGAGGGCTGAAGAGATGGCTCAATGGTTAGAGCATTTACGGCTCTCCCAGAGGCCCTGACCCAAAACTCACGTCAAGCAGCGTACAACTGCCTGTAACTGTAGCTCCAGGGGCTCCGACACCCTTTGATGACCTGCATAAACACGGTGCACATAAACTCAGGCACACATACACTCATAAATAATAATAAAAAAAGTGTTAACCTTAGTGAACCTCACTCAGCCAGAAGACAAGGCTATGAGATAAACTGTCTCCCCTTCAGTCATTCAGGGGCTCCTACGCTGGGGTCTTCCAGTTTCCTGGAGCCGGTTTCTATGTCGCCAGCCAGGGGAGTTCCCAGCAACTGCTTTCCTGCTGGGAGCAGGCACTGGTGGGCTCCTGGCCATAGGCAAGTATGGGAGCAGAAGGGCGGGCGGGGCTGGGGTGGGGCTGGGGCTGGGGCTGTTCACTGACTTTTAGCTTCACCCTGTTTCCTTCAGGTCTCTTTCAGCTCTTGGTGAACCCCATGAACATTTATGAGGAGCAGAAGGTGGTGGCGTTATACAGCTTGGCAAGTTAGTAGTGGATAAAGGCTGGGCATTAGGGCCCTGGAGGAAACTGGAGCTTGCTCCTTCTTCTCCAAAGTCCACAGCTTTAGCCTCTTCTTACACATTAGAAAAGGAAGACAGGAAGCTCAGAGGAGAGAGGCTCCCAACCCCTGCCTTCAATAAGTCCTGGAGTCCCTCTGCCCACACACCATAGGCCAAAACCTACACCTTATAACCTGCTCTGTTGACCACTGCAGCACACTTCTTATTAAGTGTTTGTTCATTCATTCATCCATCCATTCATTCATTCATTCCTTAACAAGGATTCAGAAGTAAACAACTGACAAACACCACCAGCCATTTTGGGAATTTACATTTTAAAAAGAGAAAAATCCCAAACCCCAAAACTCTGTGAGTTACAAGCCAGCCTGGTCTACGGAGCTAGTTCCAAGACAGCCAGCCATGACTACACAGAGAAACCCTGTCTTGAAAAACCAAAATAAAATCAGATGTATCTGGGTACAGTGGCTCACACCTACAACCCCAAAACTTATAAGGCTAAGGCAGGAGGATTGCCATGAATTCAAGATTATCTGACCTACACAGTATGTTCTAGGCCAGTCTGGGTTGCCAAGTAATGACCCTGGCTAGAGGGTCACAAAATATCTGCCACTACTCCATGCGTTAATCTCAAAGACCAGAGGAGAAACATGTCTCTCCTGGCCTGCCCAGGGAAACTCGCCAGCAGACACTTTACATCTCTTTACAGAATCTGATGCCCTTCCCTAAATCTGTTTTGACCCAGGAGGAGGAATTAATGTCACTAGCTTACTGAACACATGGAGTCTTTGGCCATAAGGCCAAGACTACAATAGACTGTTTTCTTGTCTGACCTCTGCGTCCCTGCCCTATGGATGACCTTCCGCTCACATGTGTACAAGTCCCAGGTGTGCTGACTAGGTAGGGCTTATTTTAAGGGGTTAAAGGGTCATGTCTACTCCACATCAGGACTTCAGGCTCCCATGCTTCTAAAATATCACCTCTCCTTGCTCTAGTCTGCCCCTACCTCCGTCAGCCCCTTAGCCCTGGGTCCTGCAGTGAAAAGGGGCATGGCTTCTCTTCCACTCGTTTTTCCCTCTTCTTTCCCTTTCTAGTGTAGCTTTGCTCCTGCCTAGTTTTGACGCATTCTCTGATAGTTTCATATATGTATATAATGAATTTAGTGCCTGGTTCTTCCAGCCCACCCACCCTTTTTTTTTTTTTTGGCTTTTCCAAGCAGGGTTTTTCTGTGTAGCCCTGGCTGGCCTAAAACTCACTCTGTAGACCAGGCTGGCCTGAAACTCACAGATATCCAGCTCCCTCTGCCCTCTGAGTGCTGGGAGTAAAGGCATGCATTCCACACACTGGAGTGAATGTCAGTCTTTTAAACCCCACCTTCCCTTCGCTCACCCTGCCCCACCCGTGAGACCTTTCTTCCCAATAAGTCCCCCTCCCCTTTCCATGGCTTCCTTCTCTCTGTGACCTACTGTGTTTAATTAGAATTCCTTGAGCAAACACGGGTAGGAAGTTATTTACTGATGTAAGGGCAATTTATCAATAGCTACACCACTCCCTCTGGCCTCTCCTCCCAACCCCAATTCAGCCCACCACACTTTCCCCACCGAGACAAGGTCTCAGGTAGCCTAGGCTAGGCCTAAACTCCTGATCTCCTTGTCCTCACCTCAAAAGTGCTAGAGTTACAGGCTTCCTTTCTGTTTCTTATGATGTCAGAAAGGGGAGAAGAAACATTGGAGGAGAAAGGACAAAATCTTTATTTATTTTTATGATGGGGACGGGGCCAAAGTCTTAAGTCACCAGTGCTGTTATAATTCTTCACCAGTACCCTTGGCATGGCATGGTAGGCTCCTCCTTTGAGATGTGCATCCACCCCAACCCCCAGCAGACTGTCCTTGTGGATGGAGAGCCTCAGGCCTGCTGCCTTCAGGAATTGCTATGTACCTTGTAGTTGCCCTCTCCCCTAGAGAGAAGTTGCACACTCTGGGATCGACACAGGACAGGGCCTGGAGCAACCCGGCCAGCTGCTACAGTTCTGTTGGAATCTAGCCCACGAGGAATGAGGCAGGGTCCCTCCTTGTGACAGTCCCTAGAGGGTCTGGACTTGATCTGTAACGTCCCATCCTCAGACTGTCCTCCTGTGCCTGCTGACACTGTTAACCTTCACTCCGTCCTCAGACTGTCCTCCTGTGCCTGCTGACACTAAGTGTTGCCCTTCGCTTCCAGAACACTCACATTTCTGCTTTATTTTTATCAATTAAATGAGTGCTCTTGTAGCTGCAACCATTCTGGAATCAGCTATGTAAAACAGGGTGGCCTTGAACCCACAGAGATCTCATCTGCCTGCCTCCCAAATTCTGATGTTAAAGGCATACACCACCATACTCAGCCCATCCCTTCTCCTCTCTCCCTCTCTCTCTCTCCCTCTCTCTCTCTTTCCTCTCTCCTTTTTGGGCAGGGTCGCATATATCTCAGACTGAGGATGGACTTGACCTTTTGTTTCATTTACTTCCACTTCTTAGTGCTAATATCAGAGGCATATGCCACCATGAGGCCTAGGTTTGGGGTTGGTTTGGTTTGGTTTGGTTTGGTTTTGGTATTGGGGATCAAACCCAGGACATCATGAATGTCAGGCAAGCACTCTATCAACTGGGCTACACTGCCCAGTCTTTTTTACTTTTTGAGACTGAGTCTCATGGAGTTGATCAGGCTGACTGTGAACATGCTCTACAGACCAGGTAGGCCTTAAACTTTTCTACCTTCCTGCCTCAGGCTCTTGAGTAATTGAAGTAATAGGCACGTGACACCAGACCCAGACCTCTCTATCTAAAAGTATTTACCTACTTCCTGTTGGTGAGTACAATGACCCAGCCCTCCTCTCCTTCTATAAACTGGCTGGGTAAAGCAAAAGACTCACTTTTTGCCTTTGTGTGAAGCTGAGGGAGCTCCTGGGACATAAAACAGCGCTCTGTCTGTCTGTCAGCTATTGTCTCAGCTTCAGTCTTTGGCCAGAAGGCCAAGACTACAGAACAAGTTTCTTTGCTGCCCTATAATGCATAGATTGGTTTAGGCAAACCCAGACTCAACCCCCAGGGGCCAGGGCAGAACCAGGCTATTGTCCTTGAACAAAATCCAAGTTGTGTTAACAAGTGAGAAGGCAGAAGGAAAAAAAAAAACTTCTGGGTGTCATCCAGGGTCTGCCACAAACCTGTATGTCTAGGTGGAGCCACTGGGAGGAGTGTAGCTGACAGGGCACAGGGTAGCAGCAACTTGAAGACCTGGTAAGAAATGGGCATAGGCCAGGGCCCTGTGGACTTATGGACAAAAGACTCAGTGGTCTGGGATCATGGGAGAAAGTGGGATGGGCCGATCACCAGGGTCTATCAAGCATGTCTAATGGTTTGGAGTCTATCCACCAAGTGTAAAAGGAAAACAGAATTGAAAAAGGGAAGGGCCATCATCTGAGTTATGCTTTTATAAGATTATTGCAGCCACTGAAGTGGAAGGCAGTGAGGGAGGAAGTATGAAGACCAGTTAGAAAGTTTCTGTCCATGGCACTGCAAAGATGGCTCAGTGGTTAAGAGCACTGGCTGCTCTTCCAGAGGACCTGGGTTCTATTCCCAGCAACCACATTGAACAGCTCACAACTGTAACCCTAGTTCTAGGGATCTGACACCCTCTTCTGGCCTCCATGGGTTAGCAGCTTACATGGTGCACATACAAGCAAACCCACTTATCCATGTGAGGTAAAATAAGAGACAAACAAGGGAAGCCTCAGTCCAGGAGCTCAGGGTAGAGCTCAGCGGGAGACGCTTACTTTGCATGTGCAGGGTTGGACCCTGGCATTGCAACAGAAGGCTCTAGTCCCAGTGAGTGATCCGGGGGCTGGGGAGGACAGTGGAAACGGTGGGAGTCTAAGTATTTGGGGTTTGCTCTGGCCATCATTAGGCAGAGACTCAGTCTCCACGGGGATCATCTTGTACCCTGACTAGCTCATGCTGTTCCTTTGTCCTGGACTGCCATCTGTGCCTCCTAACAACAGTTACTCATCTCCCAGGCCCAGCTGACACATCATCTCCTTTGTCCAGCCTTCCCAGCCCCACCCCTCCCTGCAGAAATACCCACGCCCTCCTTGGCTCCGCAGCGCTCTCTATAAGCCCCTCCCTGGTGCACTGAGCACGTCTGTCCCGCAGTAGTCATTTGTTTACATGTCTGTCTTTCTCTCTGGGTTATGAGCTTCACGGAGCTCACTGTCTCCGTGTAGAGACCGCATGTGCCGCCGCTGTAACCTACCAGGCACACACATGATTAAGGGCTAGCACATGGGAAGGGTGAGGACTTGAGTGCTGTGGGTGTAGAGCACCAGGGATGTCCAGGGAGGGAGCTGACGGCTCCTCTGACCACCTTGCCCATCAATGCCCATTTTCTCAACGTCTCCTTTGCTGGCTCTGCTCTTTCATCACCTAACATAAATATGCATCCAGCCTGGCACCCACATCACACTCACACACGTGTGATCATGACTTTTCTATCTATCCCTCATCATCTCCTCAGGACCTGACTGAGACAGACACACAGCTGTGCTCTATAAATGGCTGGCAGATGAATGAATGAGTGTGTGAGTGAATGAGGCCTGAGACGTCTATTAGAGCAGGCATAAGTGGAGATGAGCCGGAATAGAGCCAGGGGAAGGGTAGGGCAGGTGAATGCCTGATAAATGGCATTTGAGGCTGTCTCCTTACTTTACCTCCCATGTTCTGGATCTCCCAATAGGCTTAGGGGCCGTAGGCTGGGGGACCTCCCCTCACATCCGCTGTGCCAGTCTCCTGTTGGTACCCAAGATGCTGGGCAAAGAAGGCAGACTCTTTATCATGGGATACGCTTTGGCTGCTATCTACAAAGGTGAGGAGAGGCTCCCTCAAAGTGCCAGTCGGTGATGCCAAAGCAGTAACCCTGGGCAGACCGTCCAGTGAGGGTCATGTTGCTGAAAGAGGAGAAAGAGAGAGAGAGAGAGAGAGAGAGAGAGAGAGAGAGAGAGAGAGAGAGATCCAACTTGGTTTGGCTTCCTTAATTTATGGGGTTGAAAAGACAATGATTGAACAAGACCTCTCACAGACTTGCTCAAGCCTGTCGTTACACAGCCCTAGAAGGTAGGTGGCCTATGGTCTAGTAGGTGGTCTGTATGCAGAGAAGGTGGCTCTAAGAGGGGACTGACTCTGCAGGAAGGTGACCTACTTGGCCTCTTCTGCTAGGGCCGGTGGCCAATCTACAATCCAACATCAACGAGGTGATAGCATCCCTGGGCTGCACTGTGGAGCTGCAGATCAACAACACCCGAGCCGCCTGGCGTGTCTCCACAGCCCCTTTGCGGGCAGTGATCAAGAACATGCTGGTCAGCACACTGTACAGTCCCTAAACCCAAGACTGAGTTGGGTTGGTCTGGGAACATGGCCCTGGATCTATGGTCTCCTAGTAGGAACGTTCCTAGTATATTTTATACCACTGCTCCCAAACACTGCAGAGCCCTTCCTGATCCTGGGGTGTTAAAAACCAGGAGGTCAACATACCCTAGGGACATGAATACCTGTATGTTTCCACATACCCACATGGGCAGGACTCGCTCAGCTCTGCAGCTGAACTAGAATGTTGGGAAATTGGAAATATTGACTTCTGAAGCCCAGAGGATCAGAGAATGGAATATTTGGGGGCTATTGGCTAGGGGGTTGGGAATGTTAGAGAGATGAGGATTGGGGGAGGGGAGGCCATGGGGCTATGGGAGACTAGCATTGAAGAGCAACCTTCCCAGTTACGGGAACCACTGAGCAATAAGGATAGAGGAAGAGAGAGGCCTCAGGAAAAGCTGAGGGTCTGAGAAGTGTGGAAAGGCTACTGAGTATGAGAGTTGTAGGGTACTGGCGGGGTGATTTGTCTCAGGCCTAGACCCCTGGAGGTGTGGATAAGAGCATTGCCAGAAGACAAATTGGCAGGCCGAGTCTGTAATTCCCTTTCTTTGCTCCCTCCCACCTTGCAAACCCCAGAGCAGCAAAGATTCGTTGCAAACAGAGATTCAGAATGTCTCTGTATCCTTTGAGGACCTGGATGACCAGGTGAAGAGTGACATTGGCTACTCATCTGAGGACAGGAAGACAGACCCAGGCACAGAGGCTCTCGGAGCCTCCCGAGCCCGACCCTACCTGTCCACACAGATGATGTATGAACTGAGGACCAAGCTACGCTGCACCCGTGAGGAGGATTCCTGAGCGGGACAGGGGTGGGGCAGAGTTTGGGGCCAGGATCTAAATCAAAGCACGGGAGCCCCAGCCACCTCTGTCTTCTTGCGATAGATATAGTAAACAAGGCCATCCGAAGCTGCCGCCGCTGGTTTGATAAGAAGCATAAACGGTGCATGCAACGCATCTGGGCCCCAGTCATTAACAACCTGCTCTGCCTGCCAATGAAGTTCAAGTTCTTCTGTAGCATTGCCAAGGGTTAGTGGCAGGATGGTGCAGAAGGGTCCCCTGGATTAAAGGAGATGAGTCCTCAGTGACCACAATAGGTATAAGGCAGGAAGAACACAGGCAGGTGTAGAGTGGGGGTGCTGTGGGTACATGAGCTCACTCCCTACTCACGGCTCTGTAGTGAAGATGAGTTCCAGCCATGCTCTGCATCCCGTCTCTCCACTGGAAAGACCGGGATAATAATAGTTCTCATCCCCGTAAGGGTTTTGAGACTTAATGGGCTGATGCATGCCAACTCCTAACAGAAGTGGTACCCAGAGGAACTGCTCTAGAAATGCTGGATACCACGATTAGTATTTGGTATGGTTAAGGATAGATGTAAAAATGGGAGTGGAGCGTCAGGCCATGTTTGCCGGGTGGGAGAACCCAGGGCTCGTAGAGGAGGGAGGAGTGGGTGCCGTGGAAAGTCAAGGGCAGAAACTCCTAGAGGAGTAGCAGCTGAAGGGAGGGCAGCCAGGCCTGGGATGCAGCCTGGATGAGGAGGCCCTGACTTGACCCCACTGCCCACCAGTGATGGAGATCTGGTGTCAGAAACGCATCCCCGTGGAAGGCAACTTTGGGCAAACCTATGACTCGGTCAACCAATCTATTCGTGGTCTGTCTGGAGACTTTTCAGCCCGTATTGACATTAAGGTAGGAGGCTAAGGTATGGAAGAGGGAGAGGTGCAGACACCAGGAGGGGAGGAAGGGAGGTATCCAGGCCAGGATCAAGGCAGGAAGAAGGACAAGAGAGAGGCCCAGGGATGAGGTGTCTGAGTGTGCAGCTGGAATGACTAACCTGACGAATCACACCCGCCTGTGGAACACACATGTCTGGCTTGGGGGTGGGTGGATAGCCAGGCATGAGATGGTGTCAGTGTGGGTACAGGAAAGCAAGATTGTCACAGAGACTGGTGAGCAAGTAAAGGGGCAGCCCCTGGAGGTCCTGGGAGAATCGGGGGGCTTAAGTAGGGTGCCAGTGGAAATGTGTCATCAAGAGGCTGGTGGGGTATGGCGAGACGGTAGCGGGCTGTCTGCACTTGGTCCCTTCCCAGGAACAGAATCAGTCCGCAGTGGTGGGTCTCAACACGAGCTGGGAGCACGTGAGCATCGAGCTGCGGGACTACATTCACCAGCAGGAGGCCCGTCTGCACTGGGCTGTGGGGCTGCTGCATGTGCTCCTGTCCTGCACCTTCCTGGTGGTCTTCCATTCGTGAGTCAGCAGCCCCACCTGTTGCCCCTTCTCCCACTCTGGGTGGGAGCCCTTTGCAGAGCCGACACCCCTAATTTGGAATCTGACTCTGATTTGCCTGTTTTCACAGCTAATGGGCATGTGAACATTTTGTAAGAAGAGAGATTACCCGTGTTCCTACTGTCTTAAAAAAAGCAACCATCGTCACTTATCTGCCTCCTCCCGGCACCCATCCGAACACTGGCCTTCCCCCACACACATTTAGCTTTGACTGTAGACTTTTTCCCTTGCCCTTCATATTCCCCTTGACTCTGACTTTGTGAGCCATTTTTATCACCTAGTCTTGCTTTCATTCTCTCCTGCCTGCTGTGTCGGCAGCTTCTTTCCTTCCATCTAGAACAAAGTCCGCAGCCCTGCCCAGCTTTGGTGTCCACCTGGGGCTGCCCTGGCCCTCACCGTGCTCAGGTTCACCCACTGACTTCTGGACCTTCTCCTCTTCTCCTCCACCTCCAGCATCCGGGCTGGGCAGGAGATGGACGAGGGCAGCCATAGGGACCCTTGCTGTCTGTCCCTGTTCTTCAGGCTAGAGTGGCTCCAAGTGAATGATTAGGTAGCCAGGGCCCTGTGGAAGAACAAAGGTGAACGAGCCATATTGCTGCCCTGGAGACATCCCTTGTCTAGTTGAGATGGTGAAAAAGAAGACACAAAACACAAATGGCTCAAGGGCCTTAGTATGGACTGGCTGTGGGGACAGGTGTGGAGGATATGGAGGTTCCATAGGGGTGGCCATAGCTACACCCCAGAAGGCTGCAGGTAGGATCTGTGGTCAATGGAAGGACGGGTGGTGTTCTGAACTAGGCCCTCCACATCTGCAGTATACAGGGCAGTGGCTGGGTGGAGGGCTGAACTGACAGTGGCTTGGCTAGAAGAGTCTGGAAAGCTCTGCAGGAAGGTCCTAAACAGGAAGGTGGCCACAAGATGGATGGAGGGGAGGGCAAAGAGGGGGCACAGGGGCAGAGGCCAGGCTAGGTCAAAGGTTAGGGAATGAGGACAGAGTGAGGCAGGACAGGAAGATAGTCCAAAATGGAAGGAAGTGGAAAGATTCAGATGTTCTGAAAGCCAAGTTTGGAGAGGGAAGGGAGAGTCTAAAGTCGCTGCCAGGCTTTCAACCTGGGTGAGATCACTCAGAAACAGGACAGAGCTGGGGGGAAGGGATGTTGCCAGCAAAGAAAACCCAATATTGCAGTAGTAGGTCTCTCCACAAGGGGGCGCCCCAGTCTATTTTTGCATTTTCTGAAGACTCCCAGTGGCATTGTTCTTCATAAGTGGGATTTATGTTTCATATTTTGCAGTTTAACATAGTTCTACAATTTTTTGGGTTTTTTTGTTTTGCTTTTTTGTTTTTCGAGACAAGGTTTCTCTGTGTAGTCCTGGCTGTCCTGGAACTCACTCTGTAGACCAGGCTGGCCTCGAACTCAGAAATCCGCCTGCCTCTGCCTCCCAAGTGTTGGGATTAAAGGCTAAGTGCATGCGCCACCACTGCCCGGCTAGAATGTTTTTCTTAGGAAGCAAGTATTATATGGGACTTTGGGAGCTACGCAGAGAACACTCACATATGTATACGTATGTCTCCACACACACAGCTCAAGGGAAGTCAGAAAGGTCAGGGTGTGCTGGAGAGACAGGAGGTGTCTGGATATGGGGCTTTGTTTGAGGTGTACAGCAGGTAAAGCTGGAGGGCATGGTGGATATCTCCTTTAGTCCCAGAACTCAAGAAGTAGAGACAAGCCGGGCAGTGATGGTACAGCTTTAATCCCAGCACTTGGGAGGCAGAGGCAGGCGGATTTCTGAGTTTGAGGCCAGCCTGGTCTACAGAGTGAGTTCCAGGACAGCCAGGGCTATACAGAGAAACCCTGTCTCGAAAAACCAAAAGAAAAAAAGAAGAAGAAGAAGACATAGAAATAGGCAGATGTCTATAAGTTCAAGGTAAGCCAGGGCTACGTTGTGAGACCTTATCTCAAAAATAAACAAAATAACAAACAAGTAAATAAAATTAATATGAGAGCCATGGTCCTGAGTGATTCCTGCAATCTGGAGAGTTTTCTGATTCCGTGCATCTATTTCATTCTTCCTGCAAGACAAGCGTCTGCCCCTAACTCACAAACTGCTTACGCCCTCCCTCCTCTGTTGGGTCTCAGCAATCACATAGGTGTATCTCTACTGCACAGCCAGAAGGCAGGGAAGCCCGCTTCCTTCATCACCAGGTCACCTGGCCCAGGCTTCAGATGCAGGGATGCTCAGGGAATACCAGTTGATCTGATGACTGTGTCTAACAGAAGCCCATGGACGGGTGTGGATGGGGAGACACTGATGCAGAAAGATGGAGACAGCCCTGCCTTTCTCTCACAGAGCCTTCACCTACATGGATAACTACAACTGGAACATCCGCTTTGACAACATCTACATCAACACCTATTTCTATCAGATCGATGCGCGCAGGAAGAAGCTGGTGCGGGAACTCAACCCTTCCAGAGGATGCCTTATTGTGCCCTGTGTGGAGAATGAGGGCCCTTAGTATTCTTATTTATAGAGATATTTAAAATTCTTTTGTATGGATATATGCCTGCTTGTCTGTATGTGTGCCATGTGTATAGTGCCTTCGGAGACCAGCAGTGGGTGTTGGATTCCCTGTAACTGGAGTTACAGGCAGTTTCAAGCCACCTGATGTGGGTGTTGGGAACTGAACCTGGGACCATTGAAAGAGCAGCAAGACCTCTTAACTTTTTTCAGGGCAAACAGAGTCTGTTGCCACTCCGCAAGGCAGAAAAGAAATCTGTTATCTTCCCTTTCAAGGCTACTATCCAGGCCTCAGAAATGCGGAACCTGGTGAGACTGAAGCGGGGAGTGGGTCTGGGGATGGGTGGCAACTTGCCAGTAGGACTCTGAAGGTGGAAGGCAAAGGACAGAGGGTACCCAACTCTACTTTCCCGGGCTACCTACAGGTAAGGGAGCTCCTAGAAACTCTGCCTATCCTGCTGCTGCTGCTGGTTCTGTTCGCCATCGACTGGGCACTCTACTCTGTCTTTGACACCATCAGTCGCCACTCCTTCCTGCAGTACTCCTTTCGCAGTGAGCCCAAGGGGCACCCCCCTCCTGTCTCCCATACTTCCTTCCTTTTCTGCATCCTTTCCCTCTGTCTCCCAAGAAAAGCCTCAGCCCCACAATTCCAGCTCTCACCGGAAACCCTCTCTCCACTCTGACCAGGCAGTCACAAACTGGAGGTAAAGGTTGAAGGAGACTCCATGCTCGCCAACCTTCTTCGAAAAACCATCGGAGCTTTGAACACCTCCACGAATACAGAAGTGGAAACAAACAACATGCGTGAGCGATGCAAAAGGCCGGGATCTGTGGAGTCGAGGGCTAGCGCCCGAGTAAGGGTAGGGTTGGAGACTGGACTTTACAAGAGGAGAGAAGGGGTCTGGCATGAACTGGAAAGATCAGAGCCAAGCGTGCTTAGATCAGAGAAAAATGGTCGCCAGAGCTTTGAGGTCTTGCTTGCTTGTCCAATAGACCTTTCTGCCACAATGAAACCGAAATCAAGCAGCCTCCAGCGGTGCTGATGGAGGGGTGGGGGACAGATAGTAAGTAACTATGGTATTTACAGAGAAGCTATGCAGATGGAGGAGAAGAGGCAGAGGAATCAAACTGGAAATCCACCCTGTACCTCTTACTGGGCTAGGGAGATCAACTTAGCGCTGCTGTCAGCTGGCACTGACCAGATTGCTGATAGTCTGCCTTCTCTCCCAGCCTGCCTGCCCCGACCTGTTGGCCTGAATGCCAGGGGCTATTTTACGGCTTCACTGCCAACCTTCCTGCTTACGTGTCTCTGCCTAGCTCAGGCCTTTGGCTACCGACTCCGGAGAGTCATCGCGGCCTTCTACTTCCCCAAGGTGAACTGGCAGACAGCTCCACCTCTAAACACACACGCACTCGCACACGTGTGCACACTCGTGCTCACATACACACACACACACACATGCGCACACACACACATACACACTCACACACACAACTTTCTACCACCCGTGTCCTCCCCTGCTCTATCACTCTCACGCTTCCTCTTGCTTTCCACCCAACCCCTCAGCGAGAGAAGAAGCGGGTTCTGTTCCTCTACAATGAGTTACTGAGGAAGAGATCAGCTTTCACTAAACTGAGGCGGGCCGCCATTGTTCGTCGGGCCCGTCGGCAGAAAGCTCCAGTAAGTACAGTCCCTTGCAAGCCTGCCAGCTCTCTACAGGGTCTAAAGACTCTCAGAGAAGGGACATCCTTTATAGTATACCCAGCACCTTCAGTGTCCCAGGCCTATTGAAGCTGAGTGGTTTTGGCAGTTGTGTCCCAAGTCCTGTTGGAGCTGAGTGGGTCTGGCAGATGCAGGGTAGGTTAGAGCTGTCTGTCTCTGAAACTCAATACTCAACACAGCTTGGAACATGCATGTGCCTTCAGGAAGTGGCAGAGAGAAGTGAGGTCTGATGGTCTGTTCGTAGGGCAGCAATGACACCATCTGAAAGAGACCACAGACAAGCCCAAGGTGGTTCCAGAAAGTGGAGAGGAGGGAGGTGGTCGGGGCTCAATAGGGTTTCAGGAGGGAACATGCAGTCTTTGGAAAACACAGAATCGGAACCAGGTTTGCGTCCACACTTTCTGAAGCCATAGGAGCCTGGGGTCCTCACTGTGTCTGTTCTCCCCTTGGAAGAACAGAGAGTGTAGATAGGTCTGTGAAGCCATTCTTCGGTGTTGGAAGAGTGGTATTGGGATTGGCTACCAGAGAAGCCTTGGTTTACGTCCAGCTCCATCCCTGTCATTATATGGCAGCTGTGTGACCCTACCCAACTGCCTTGCTTTCTCTGTTCTGTAAGACGGTGTGAACTACTTCGTCTGTTCAGTTGTTTCAATGCTTGGGTTTTACTTCATTGTCAATTGCTGATGTGAGAGTAACATTCTATATGCATGCTAGTTGCCATGGTGTGCCCTGAGCAAACACTATCAGCTCTCTCACCAGAAAGAGAGATGGTAACAACAACAACACATGCACACACACACACACACACACACACACACACACACACGGCTGAGCAAGTGCACACAGAGGGTGGTGGGGATGGAACAGAAAGCATGAGCTCTGATGCCGAGCCTGATGACCTGAGTTCCAGTTCATCCTCCTGGTAGAAGGAGAGGACTCCCACAAGTTGTCCCCTGACTGCCACACATACCCTACGGCACACATCAGCAGGCTGGGGTTCCTTGACCTGGCCCTGAAGTAAACTGAACTTGAATGGCTACATGAAGTAGGAGGGATACGTGTTCTAAGGAACGGGGTGTGAAAAAACTCAAAGACCAAAGAGGATGCTGAGGCCAAAGGCTAAGCTGGGGGAAAAGCCAAGTGCACGAACAGGCCTGGGAGCGCTCTGAATGGCAAGCCCAGATCTGCTCTTAACTGGGGAGGGAGGGGGAATGTCTTAGGCAATGGTCTGGGAAAGATTCCTGGCAACTGTATGAAGACAGTATTCGGAAAGTGAACCACTGAGAGGAATCCGGCAAGGCTTAGGATGTGGTCCCTGCCAGGCCTGACTCAGATCTGACTTAGGAAAGTTACACCATCTTTCTGAATTTTATTTCTTATTTATTTATTTTTTGCCCTCATGGGTGGCTAGTGTCCAGGAAGGCCGGAAGATCATTGGATTCCCTGGAACTCAAGTTACAGACAGTTGTTAGCGCTATGTGGGTGGGTGCTGGGATTCCAACCGGGTCCTCTAGAAGAGCAGTCTAGGTTCTTAACCACTGAACCATCTCTCCAGCCCACCTGTAAGGTGTAAATTACCATAATCTGTCTGCCCTCCTCCCTTGTAAGCCTCATCGTAAGAACCACATTAAGCTGCTCTACAGGCAGGCGTACATAATAGTTGTCGTGGGTCATCCTTGGGAAGTGAGTTTGGGCACGCTAGGCTCCACATTCCATCATGGAGGAAAGGAGACTCTTTGGACTCACTTCCGTATCACCCTCACCCTCCAGGGCTCTTCTTGTCAACCCCAGATTCCTCCAACATAGCATTGTCAGGTCTTGGGAATTAATACTTTAAGAGCTGCCCAGTGCCCCTGACATCCCTTCCTGCTCAGCCCACCTGGCATTAACCAAACCACCTCATCTCCCAACAGCGCCACTACCTGGTGGACGCTCTGTACCGACGGTGCCCTCTCCTGCGCCGCTTGACGCGTCTGCGCTGCGTGGTGTGTAAGGCACTGGAGACGCCCGAGTCCTACGTGTGCCCCACGCCAGACTGCAAGGCCCTGTACTGCCGGTCGTGCTGGGACGACATGCAACGGCGGTGCCCGGTGTGCACGCCCCGCGAGGAGCTCTCTTCATCCGCCCACAGCGACAGCAACGACGACGCTGTATATGGCGAATGAAGGGATGCTGCCCGCTTTCTTGCTTAATAAAGTGTGATGTACCAGCTCCTGCGGCTGGTGTTTTGCAGGGATCGGGGACTGGGTGAGCCGGAAGAACCGGCCCGCACAATGCGCACGAAGCCGGGCCACAGATCGGAGGCAGGATGGAGGGAAGGCGCGAGCCTTGTGGTGTCCAAGCCGATCCCGGTAGCTGCCGGAAAGAGGCTGCGCTGGGCGGTAGGGGCGGAGCCTCGGACGGGGCGAGGCGGGGCCTCAGACGGGGCGGGGCGGGGCCTAGTGGCTGCTCTGAGCGGAGCTGGTGTCCAGCGGGGCCGCGGCTGTTCCTCCACGCGCAGCCCCGCACCTGCTGCCCTCGTCCGGCCCGGAGCTCCGCGGCCATGCGGCTGGCGCTGCTCTGGGCCCTGGGACTCCTAGGCGCGGGCAGCCCTCGGCCCTCCCCGCCACTGCCAAATATAGGTGAGTTCTCAGCCGATAGTGCGTCAAGGGGGATGACTGGAAAGAGGTACAAGGAAACCCGGAGGCATTGGGGTGCTGGGGTCTGCCGGAGCCTAACCAGAGGGCAGCCTGCCTGGTCTGCTGACCAAAGCCTTGGACCAGGTAATTTGGAGGGGGGGGGAGAGGAGGAGGAGGAGGAAGATGGCATCTTCTGTCCAGAAGTCCTGAGTTATCCCCGCAGACACTTTTGAGTCTCCGGCACTGAAGAGCGTGCCCAGAGGCCCCTTCAGATCATGGAAAGAGTCACTCCTTAGGACTGATGTCTTCTTCTCTCTAGGGCCTAGCTGACAGTTCTACTCTGTGAAGTGCCCGGACTAGGCACGGCTAGTGAGATTTTAGTGAAAAGGATTATTTTCAGCTGTTCATTCCAGACCTGGGCAGCCAGCACCGCTCACTCGGGTGCGGTTGCCATCAGAAGCCTGGCGGAGCGGGAGGGGCCCCGGAGAAGCCAGGGGAGGGAGCATTCGCCAGGAAAGAGACTGGGACACCAACTCCTCCTTGGAACTTTCACTTCCCGCTGCTGTCTTGGGCTGGGGGCCGAGAGGGTAGGCGGGGGTGGAGTGTCCGGAGAGGAGAGGGCCATTGTTGGGGGGTGCTGGCGGAGGAAGCGGAGGCTGTTGGGAATGGGTGCGCCTGACTGGGCATCAAGGCTGTTTAGGGAGGTCGGAGTGTTTGCACTGCTCACCCAGAGATGGGCGTTCCCGGCAGGCATCTCTACTGTGAAGGAAAAGGAAGGGCAAGTGGGCACCAGGCCACAAGGCTTCTCCTAGTCTTAAGAAGGGCATTCCTGAATGGGTGGGGAGTGTGATTGGGAAGGGATGAGAACAAGGGAGGGCCCCTGTGAAAACCTCGGGATTGGCCAGAGGGAAGACAAGGAGGAGCTGCAAGCTGGATAAGCTGAACTTTCTTTGGGGACTTATGGGCGAAATTCTTAAGTTGGGAAAGAAACCCCCTCCTTCCCATATCCTCCTTTAAATCCCAGCAGGCAGTGCAGGAGCCCTTAAGTCACTGATAGCCTTATTTGCTGGGAGTCGGTGGGTCTGAGGACACTAGTGACACCAGCCTTGTCAGGGATTCCCTCAGCAATCTCTTAGGATGTTCTGGAACCCTGCAGGAGGCACTGAGGAAGAGCAGCAAGCCATCCCAGAGAGCCCCCTGAGTGGATCCTTGGAGAGCCAGGTTGTTCAGGACAGCCCCCCAGTGAGCCTAGCAGAAGCGCTTCAGGTGAGTTCCAGCCTGCTAATAAGATTTTCTTTTCTCACACTCCACACTATTGATCATCTTGAGGGCAAAGTTTGGCTATACGGCCAGTAACAGGTCTATCCGGGTCCTACTACTTTCCCTCAGCCCCTGGCTACACTCAGCTCTTTCCCCTCTGCACATACATGTGTCTACCTCAGCCCCAGCCTGTCCTCCATCCATGTACGCTGGGAGAGTTCTGACACTAAGCCTCCTCCATCCTACTCATGCTGTTCTCTTTTTCAGTGGGAGAGACATTTGGAAAGGGATTGGGACAGACAGACAGATACACACTTTCTGAAGCTGAGTCAGAGGAAGGGCTGGGGCCTGTGCTGGGTCCTTCATGATGCTTCCTCTCTGGGCAGGAAGCCGAGAAGGGGTGGCTCAGATACCTTCCTTGACCTCCCCACGTAAGCCCCTAGAACAATGCCCGAGTCCAGGCAGGGCTTCCTGGACCCTCCCATGAGATCCCCCAACCAGTGACCTAATCATGGGTACTCTCCTGAGAGCCTGAGGTTTTCTGGTTATAAAGGATAGAAGTTGTGGGCAGGGCTTGGGGAGGTAAAATGCCTCTGGTGTCCACAGACTGGTTTACCTGAGGCCCTGAGGATTGCATTGGAGCTGGACGGTGAGAGTCATATCCTGGAGCTTCTACAGAATAGGTAATGTGGCGGGCATGAATAATTACTGGGAGGTGATTTACATAACATTTATTATGCACCAAGTACTAAGTGCTTACACACTCATGGGACTCCTTCACAACAATCCTATAAGGTAGATGCCATTATGCAGTTATCCTTATTTAACATTTAAAGACGTTAAAGCCCAGAGAAATTAAATAACTTGCCTGAGTTCTTACAGTTATAGATGTCAAAAATCATACTGGAACTCAGACAGGCCAGAGGAGGCAACAGCTCATCCTTCAGACTCTATAGCCTCAGAGGAACTGAGTAGTTAAATTTGGTGGCATTGCCTGGTCCCTAACATACCCTGGTCCATCTCAGGCCCTAGCTTGTCACTCCAACACCCTGTGAAGTGGCTCAAATCCTGTCCTCTTTTTCTCTCAGAGATCTAGTCCCTGGCCGCCCAACTCTGGTGTGGTACCAACCTGACGGCACCCGGATGGTCAGTGAGGGGTACAATCTGGTGAGTCAGGCTCTGGTGCTGTTTCAGGCCTGGGCAAAAGAGGGAAGGAAGAAGGGAGGATGGCAGCCCTGGAGGAAGTGGGAGGGCTCTGCCTGCCCTTGCCGGCAAGCTGGACTCCAGGGTTGTCTGGTCTCCCCTGTGAACTGGTGCTAACTAATGTAGCTTCCCTACTGTAGGAAAACTGCTGCTATCGAGGACGAGTGCAGGGCCACCCCAGCTCCTGGGTCTCCCTCTGTGCCTGCTCTGGGATCAGGTACTATGGGTGGGTTAGATACCAGGAGAGAGGATACTCACAGGCAGGGAGCCAAAATGCTCTGACTCCCTGTCTTTTTCCCTAGGGGTCTGGTAGTCCTGTCCCCAAAGAGAAGCTATACACTGGAGCTGGGACCTGGAGATCTTCAGCGTCCTCTTGTCGTCTCTCGGGTCCAAGACCTCCTCTTGCCAGGCCACACCTGTGCCCCTAGCTGGCATGCCTTTGTGCCCACTCGGGCAGGGCCAGACCTTCTGGAACAGCATCACATTCACAGGGTGAGGAGGCATGGATGTAGCACTGGGCAGACTCAGAGCCTAGACCCCAGGGACGGTAGCTGCTGCTGATGGAGCTGTCCCCATGTTTCAGGCATGGTGTGAACACTGCCTCGTTTGCTCTTCCTAGCAACCTGAGAAGGCAGGTGCTGCCTAAAGCTCTATTTTCCAACAAAGAAATCCTCACTTACAAAGATGGAGATTACACTGTAGTGTGAAAATTAAGTGAACTGATATGGCAAGTGCTTAGAACTATGCCTGGAAAACTATATGTGATGATGTCAGGTGTTATTTAGCTGTTTTGGTTTTGGTGTTTGTTTGCCTCTTGAGTAACTGGGATTAAAGGTCTACACTACCATACCCCCGCAAAATAGGTTTTGATTTGCTTTTGTTTGTTTGTGTTTGTTTTAAGATAGGGTGTCTCTCTATAGCTTTGGCTGTCCTGGAACTTAACCAGCCTGGTCTTGAACTCACAGAGATCCACCTGCCTCTGCCTGTGCTGGGATTAAAGGCGTGTGCCAATATGCCTGGCTTGAGTTAATATTTTTAAAAATTGAAGCCAGGTTTGATCGTATACAACTATGTCCCAACAGCTGTTTGGAGAGCAGAGGCAGGAAGATATCAAGTTCACTCCCAGCCGGAGCTGCACAGCAAGACACTGTCTCAAAAAACCAAAAGCTTGGTTTTGTTTTCGATGAGTTTGGAGTGGGAAAAGACAGTCCCATTATTGGCTTCATAATCTGTTCTTGGTCCACTATGGGCAGGTCTCTGAGCTCTCCCTCTCCCCATGAGGTCTTCATCCTCTTAACTACTCAAAGTGGGTATGGACACAGCTTGGCCAGCCCAAGGCCATGGCCCCAGGAGAGTCCGCCTGACACATCTCGCTTCTTGTCCACAGCTTAAGCGGGATGTAGTGACAGAGACTAAAATTGTTGAGCTGGTGATTGTGGCTGATAATTCAGAGGTAAGTGTGTTGACACCATGGCCCTCCCCTGCTCCCTGCCCCACCCCACTTTCCAACCCCATTTTAAGACAATCCCACTTGGCCCCCAGGTCAGGAAGTACCCTGACTTCCATCAGCTGCTGAACCGAACACTAGAAGCGGCTCTCCTGCTAGACACAGTGAGTCTGGGGCTGGGCAGGAGGCCAGGAGCTCCCTTCCTGCTGCCCTAGCCCCATCCTCCCTTAACTGTGGTCCTGGCCCCTTTTCTGAGCCTCAGGCCCTTTCAGTTCTTCCAGCCCTTGAATGTCCGGGTAGCACTTGTGGGCCTAGAGGCATGGACCCAGCACGACCTGATAGAGGTGAGCTCCAACCCAGCTGTCCTGCTAGACAACTTCCTCCGCTGGCGCCGGACAGACTTGCTGCCTCGACTGCCCCATGATAGTGCCCAGCTGGTGACGTAAGGATCCCAAGTTCTACTACCGGGGCCTGATGCTATCCTGTCAGGGTCGAGTATGCAGCCTTGGACTCTGATCTCTCACCTCTGTCCCACAGTGTTACTTCCTTCTCTGGGCCTATGGTGGGCATGGCCATTCAGAATTCCATCTGTTCCCCTGACTTCTCGGGAGGTGTGAATATGGTAAGCTATCTGCCCGTCTCCTCGTTTCAGGTTACACTTCTCCAGTGTATGGGACCTTTATTCACTTCAGACTGGTCCAGTCTCAGAGCTGTGGGGAGAGAAGGCAGAGTTTACTCGTCACAGAATTTGTTTGTGGCTAGTTCATCATAGAATACAGAGTTGTCACTTATGATACCTTTGCGTTTCTAGGAGGAAATTGAGGCCCAAAGGCAGAGGTGATTCCGGGGGGGTATATGGTGGGGGCTAAGGCAGAGTTGAGCTAGAACTTAGGTTCCTGGCACCAGGCTTGGACTCTCCTACTTTAGTGGCAATTAAGGTGGGATCAGTATCCAGGGGAACGGGTAAGAAGGGAACAGAATAGTCGGGGTAGGTTAACCATTGGGTTGAATCCAGGCTGGGGCTGGATTTGGGGTATTTTCCTCCCGAATGATAGGACCACTCCACAAGCATCTTAGGAGTTGCCTCCTCCATTGCCCATGAGTTGGGCCACAGCCTGGGTCTAGACCATGATTCGCCTGGGAACAGTTGTCCCTGTCCAGGTCCAGCCCCAGCCAAGAGCTGCATCATGGAGGCCTCCACAGAGTGAGTAACTGGGGGTAGGGGTGAGGTGGGGGATGGGTTAGAATGCATGAGGGTAAGGCAAGGCACGAGAGCCTCTGCCCAGCTCCCCTTGTCATTCTCAGTTTCCTACCAGGTCTGAACTTTAGCAACTGCAGCCGACAGGCCCTGGAAAAAGCCCTCCTCGATGGAATGGGCAGCTGCCTCTTCGAACGGCTCCCCAGCCTGGCCCCTGTGTCCTCTTTGTGTGGAAATATGTTTGTGGACCCTGGAGAGCAGTGTGACTGTGGCTTCCCAGATGTGAGCCACTGACCCCAAAGCCTTGCCCATCTGTGCCCTCGCCCTGATTATTCAGTCCTGAGCTTCCTGGGTAGCTTTCTAGCTCTGAGGGGCTGGCTTTCATTTACTCTGTGGCTTTGACACCTGGGTTTGCTCCCTGGGTGGACCGGAGGGCTTGTCACAGAACTTGTGTGCCCATGCTGCTCTGTGAGGCTCAGCTCCCTCTGTCCCCTTGCCTGCAGGAATGCACTGACCCTTGCTGTGATTATTTTACCTGCCAGCTGAGGCCAGGAGCACAGTGTGCGTCTGATGGACCTTGTTGTCAAAACTGCAAGGTGGGCATACACTTGAGACTAGTCCCCAGAGCTCACCTGCCAGGTGCCAGGTCAAAGACTCATCCTGATCTCTGACCCTGTGCTCCTGGCTGACTCTGCCCAGAATCTACTTTGATGTTCACCATCCTCCACAGTTCCACCCAGCTGGTTGGCAGTGCCGCCTTACCACAGACGATTGTGATTTGCCCGAGTTCTGCCCAGGAGATAGCTCTCAGTGTCCCCCTGACATCAGGCTTGGGGATGGTGAGCCTTGTGCTGGTGGAGAGGCTGTGTGTATGCATGGGCGCTGTGCCTCCTATGCCCGGCAGTGCCAGTCGCTTTGGGGACCTGGGGCCCAGCCTGCTGTGCCACTTTGCCTCCAAACAGCCAACACTCGGGGTAATGCCTTTGGGAGCTGTGGACGCAGCCCCAGTGGTAGCTACGTGCCTTGTGCTCCTAGGTAAGTGGAGAAAATGAGCTTTTCCCGAGCTTGTGGGAACCTTGATCCTTCTTCTACCAACCCTGCTTGCCTTTCTCCCTACCCCCAGAGATGCCATTTGTGGGCAACTACAGTGCCAGTGGGGTAGGAGCCAGCCTCTGCTGGGCTCAGTCCAAGACCGGCTCTCTGAGGTTCTGGAAGCCAATGGGACACAGTTAAACTGCAGCTGGGTGGACCTGGACCTGGGCAATGATGTGGCCCAGCCTCTCCTGGCTCTACCCGGCACTGCCTGTGGCCCTGGCCTGGTGAGTAGCCTGGGTGATTGAGACCAGGTGGGAAGGATCATCTGAGCCATAGCAAGCTGTGCCCAGGAAGCCAGATTCTTCAGCTCAAACAGTGTTATTTTCCTACCTAGCTTCAGTTTCATGTCTGTAAAGGGGAGCCTCACAGTCTCGCAAGCCCCAGTCCCTCTAAGGCTTTGAGAATGTGATCTTTGCTCTTCTCTCTATGGAGCAGGTGTGCATTGGCCATAGATGCCAGCCCGTGGATCTCCTGGGAGCACAGGAATGTCGAAGCAAATGCCATGGCCATGGGGTGAGCTGGTGTGGAAGAGATGAAAGGGGAAAGGGAACCTGCTGAAGGAAAAAGGACGGACTTGGAAGCACACATACCTTGGTTCCAGTCTTTGCCACTTCCTGGGGCATGTTGTTAGCCTTCTCGGGTGTTTCCTCTTCCAAGTGGACATAATAATGGTAGCCATATCCTGGAGGGCATGGAAGCGGCTAACTAGTGACCAGCATATTCCAGGTATTATTAGCTTGCTGACATTCCCCACCCCCCCGGCATGGATAAAGAGTCCCCCTCTCCAGGACCATCTGTCTACCCATCATCCGCAGTTTGAGAAGCCTTGAAAAGCCTTGGTGGGGAAAAAAAGAGAATTCTTGAAAAGCCGGCAGTGGTGGTCCATGCCTTTAGTCCCAGCACTTGGGAGGTAGAGGCAGGTGGATTTCCGAGTTTGAGGGCAGCCTAGTCTATAGAGCCAATTCTAGGAAAGTCAGAGATACACAGATAAATCCTGTCTTGAAAAGCAAAAACAAAACATAAAAGAAAGAAAAGGAAAGCCATACACAGGGAAGTGGTCCCGTCTGACAGATGCCCTCATCGCTTGCTTCTTGTACCTCTAGGTCTGTGACAGCAGCAGGCATTGCCACTGTGAGGAGGGTTGGGCACCTCCTGACTGCATGACCCCACTCAAAGGTAGCTAGGGGACGGGCCCAGGGCATTGGGAAGGGTGAAACAGCTGTATCCGTTTCCTTTCTCCTTGGTCCCTTCCTGACCACTTTACTCTCTGTCCCTTGACTCTGTGACTTCTGAAGCTGTCTTTGGTTCCTGAGCACTTCACCTCCTCCCTATCCCTGATCCTCTCTCAGTAGAGAGTTCTTAGCCATACTCACTCTCAGTTTGGACCTCTCTCCATAGCAACCAGCTCCCTGACCACAGGCCTGCTCCTCAGCCTCCTGTTGTTATTGGTCCTCGTTCTACTTGGTGCCAGCTACTGGCACCGTGCCCGCCTGCATCAGCGACTCTGTCAGCTCAAGGGATCCAGCTGCCAATATAGGTAGGAACATCCTGTCCCTGCTGCTGTTTTCTTCCATCAGGGATGGTTCTGAAGCCCCGATTCTAAAGGCCCCAAGCCTTACAGTCTGTACCCCTTGCTTCTAAGTTCCAACTCTCAGACCCTGAGTTTTCTGACTACCATTCCTACATACCCACCCACCTGTCATCTCTGTGTTTCCCTTAACTTCACCCCCAAATACTAGGAGTACTTCCCTCAGGACCCCAAGGTAGGGGAAAGGTAATCTTCTTCCAGGATGTTCAACCACACCTGTAAACCACACACAGCTACCTTCCAAGGGCCAAAGGGTTAATTTCTCCCAGATCAGCAGGTGGGTGGGTAGTCCTACTTTGTCTGTCTTCATACCCAGGGCAGCCCAATCCGGTCCTCCTGAACGACCAGGACCTCCACAGAGGGCACAGCAGATGTCAGGCACTAAGGTAAGCCCTGGATGCCAGAGGAAAGAGAATCCACAATTGTTACCTACCTTGGGCCTTAGAGGTAGCACTAAGGGTTCAAGACTCAGAAAAGACTGTGAGTGCTCAGTCAATCCAAGGACTCAGGACCAGTAAGTAGCAGTTAGAGAAGCAAGTACAGCAAGAGTGGATTAGCCAGTCACCCCCAGGAGGTTCTGCTGAGCTCTTTCAGCTGGCCAAATCAGTGGCTTTGAGAGGTGGTTCTATCCATGCCCTTCACAGTGACCAGAGCCATGGGATTATGGGGCCTTGTGCAAAAGGACCTTCCGTGTACTAAGATCTGATAAGGCCCAGGACATCATGTGTGAAAGGATGCCAGGTGCCCAGGGCCTAAGCCCTCTACCTTTAATGGCAAGAGGGTGTGTATGAAGTCAGCCTGCATGTCCCCTCCAGCCACTCCACGCATGCAGCTCAGTGACCTCCACTGCCTCCGGGGCCCTGCTGCCCTGTCTGAATACTAACCCCTTTCTGCCCACATCTGTCTGTTTCCTCCTGTGCACTCTGCCTGTCTGCTCCTCCTGTCTTCTCAGCAAGCTAATGTGGTCAGCTTTCCAGTGCCTCCCTCCAGGCCGCTGCCACCTAACCCCGTGCCCAAGAAACTCCAGGTAAATCTAGGCTGGGCCTTGCCCTGGCTCAGGACAGGTGGGAGTTGTGGTGCCCAATCGCAGTTCTCATCCCTGCTTCCCCCCAGTGGTATTCATTAGGAGACCAGGGTGCCCCCTCAGCCTTCAAAGTCCCAGAAGCAGCAAAGGGTGAAAATCCCGCCTTGGTCTCTACTACCACCTGGTGGTCAATAGCAGAACTACAGCCATCCAGGGACTCCATGATTGATCCGAACCTTCTTTCCCTGAGGCTCCTGTCTATTGGCAAGCACCCAGAGCCCTCCGCGCATGCTCCTATTTTCCCTTGCCCCTCCCCACCCCCCTGGCTGACTATGCATGTTGACCCTGGGTAGCATCTGCATGCTCACTACCTTTGACCGTGCTTTCAGAGCCACTGCTCCTCTCTTTGTTCAGGCCGCGCTGGCTGACCGACCCAATCCCCCCACTCGCCCTCTGCCCGCTGACCCTGTGGTGAGGCGCCCAAAGGTAACAGTAAGGGGGAGCAGGACATTGCCTCTCCTACCTAGAGCCATGGTGGCAATAGGCAGTGGGAGACAGGATGCCTCCCTCTCTGCCTGAAGGCATGTATCCCAGTAGCACCTTTGGTAGTGACAGGTTTGTTTGGAGACAAAGGTGACCACTAGCACCGTTCCTAGAACCCCTACATTGTGGGTGAGAAACATGACACCCTTCCAAACTGGCTTTCTCTCTCAGTCTCAGGGGCCTACCAAACCCCCACCCCCAAGAAAGCCACTGCCTGCCAACCCACAGGGCCGGCACTCACCAGGTGACCTGCCTGGCCCAGGAGACGGAAGTGTGCAGCTGGTAGTGCCTTCCAGGTAGGTAAAGAGGGTGTTGCTGAGGATAGGAAGGTGTCTCGCTGCCAATGAGACATCTAGGCAAGAGTTCTGACCCTTTTTCTTCTTGGCTTTTCTAAACTCCAGGCCAGCTCCACCACCCCCCACAGCATCGTCGCTCTACCTCTGACCTCTCGAGATCTGGCTGCCTCCTGCTCAGTTCTAAGACTCAAAGAAGTGGAACCTCTGCCCGAATATCCCCCCAAACACTAGAGGAGCAGGAGCACAGACAATGCAGTGCCCAGCCCTAAAGAACCACCTACCACCAGGCACTGTTAAGCAATACCTGGGGACCCACTAAAATAGCTGCAGCTGGGTGTTGGGGAGGGGCTGAGGCTGGGGCTGGAGTAGGTGGCAGAGGGACATGAACACAGTCTGTCTCTGCTCTGTTGTAATAAATGTGAGGTCTTGGAATGTGTCAGCTCCTGGAACCTGGGTAGTTCTTGCTGTGTTTCTAGGTCTGGCCACTAGGAGACGCTGCTGAGTCAGGCCAGGGCCTGTCGGAGAGGATCACTTCCCAGAAAGGGTCAACAAGAATGTGTCACTTGCGATGCCTGTAGCTTGTTTCTGCCGTCTGGGACGGATGGCCTCTAGTCTCCAAGTTCTCCCTGCCAATGCTGCTCAGCCCCCACCACAGCTATAGACAAATGACCTAAGTCGTCAGACCTGCATCCCCACCCTCTGACCAGTGGCTGGGAAAATGGATCTAACTGGTGTTCTCAGAGCCCTGAGCCTGGGCGGAGCAGGGCAGCGGCTGCTTGGATTCCAAGGCTTCACACCTGCCTCCTCCACCTCCCTGCCCCCACCTGAAGGTTCCAGAACAAAGGTGCTTTGTGCTTTGTACTGATTGCTACCACCTCATCATTTAGACCTTCAGGACTGAGGCCTCCTGGGAGAGAGAAGTTGTGTGGGATAAGGGGCAGGCTGTGCCTCACAGTGGTCACCCGGCACAATGCCTAAGGCTCTAGAGGAATGTCTGGGGTGTCCCCAGAGCCACTTCAGTCCTTCCCCTTGCATCATCCTCTGCGTGTGCAAACCAAAAGAACAATGCATGGAAAATAATTCCGCTTCAGCCTCCAAAAGTATTTGGGGTTTCAGGTGCTGGCCATCGTGTGTGTGTCTGTAGGCACACACTCTCTGCCCCCAATAGGATCTTGCTGTGTAGTTCAAGCTGACTAGAACTCTGGATTCTTCTATGGGTGTAATTCATGTGCCATCCAGCTCCGGCCTCCCAGACTTCAATGGGACTTTCTACCTTGAACCAATGCAGACACAAAGGACAAGATCTAAATAAAACCAAACCAGCCCTCTTAGATGGTGGTGCATGAGCACCTGGCTGTAATCCCAGCACTTGGGAGGATGGGGCAGGAGGATCTTCGCCAGTCTGAGGCCAGCCTGGGTTACAATATGAGTTCCAGGCTAGCTAGACTTTAGTGTTAAGACCCTGTTTTAAACAAAATAAAGCACAACATAGGATTTGAAAGAAGACAGCCTTGGTGAAGAGCTTACCTGAGTTTGGATACTAGCACCGGTATAAAAAGCACTAAGTTTAGTGCTTTACTTCTGTAACCCCTCCATGGGTGGGAGTGGTGAGGTGGGGTTAGGAAACAGGAGGATCCCCACCCCACCCCAATCTCAAGCTTACAGGACAGCAACCCGAGCCAATCAGCGAACTCCGGGCTCAGTGAGAGACCCTGTCTCAAAAAATAAGGTGGAGAAGGAATAGAAAAGCAAGACCACCTCATGACAACTTGCGCCGACACGTACACAAACAGAAAACCAAAACCCTCAATCACTAATTCCTTAGTGGAATATCCCCTATACCACCCTCTTCCAGCACAGTGAGATAACAAAGGGAAGCTTTGGCTAACCTGGAGCGTACAGGGCACAGGAAGCACAAAGGGTTAACAAGAGTTGGCTCTGGGTGGAGAGGCGGAGACGAGTTTTCATTGGTGGAAAGTTACCCAGGGGTGTGGTCTAAGAGTCTCCACTCCCCTCCTCCTTTCCGTACCCCCACCCCCCTCCACTTTTGTACCTTTCTCGCCGGGACGGAGAAGTGGGCCGGGACCAGCCGGGCCAGACCAGACTGGACCCCAGGGGCGATGCGGCTGCTGCCCCTGCTGCGGACTGTGCTCTGGGCCACGCTGCTCGGCTCGCGCCTGCGGGGGTGCTCCAGCCTCCGCCACCCTATCTACTGGAACTCCACTAACCCCAGGTAGCACGACCGAACGAGGCGAGCGCCAAGCTGGGCCCGCGCGCTCCCAGGCTGTGCGCGTGCCCGCTGCTCGGCTTTTTGCAAGGCGCTGTCTGAGCCCTGCCCAGCCGCGCGATGGGGCTCCTTTGTTTGAGCCGGCGGGGGAGGGGCGAGGCGTGCCCGGGGTCCCCCCCGCCCGCACGTGTTGGGGGGGCTGGCGGGGGACCCTAGTCCTGGGGGTGGTCGGTTGGAGTCTGAAAGCAGGGAGCTGAGGGGGCCTGGGCCCGTATTCTGGGTCCCGCCCCCCTTTTCTAGGGAGCCCAAACCTCCGGCGGGCAGGAGCTGGGTTGGACCGCTGAGAACCAGGGAGGGATCTTTACCCTAGTGAAAGAACGTGAGTTCCTCTCTGGTTCTGAGATCCTCTCGGACTCCTGATATCTCTGCTTCCATCTTGATCTTATTCCTGTCCAATCCTGGCCCTGCCCTTACAGCTGATTCACCTGTGGGCCAGTCATTTGACCTTGCTAACCTCAGTTATGTCACCTACAAAATGGGCTAATAATACCCAGTTCCCTGGGAAGCAAGCGGACTGACTGAGGTCAGGCTTGTGAAGAGAAGTGCAGCTGTACAGATTTAAATGCTTATTTCTTCCTCTCTCTGCTAAGCTGGCTGCCTTTGAACCTCGGTATTTTTTGTTTGCATCCTGCTTCCCATTTCTCCCTGCCTCTCTGCCTTCCCCATCTGTTTTCCTTTCTGATTTTCTACTTCAGGCAATCTGTGACTCTGTTCATTTATTCACTAACATTTGATAAGCCCATACTTTGTGTCAAGACCAGCCCTGAGCTGCAGGGCATTACCACTGAAACACTGCCCCGTGGGGGGCCACAGGCTCCCTTTAGAGAGGGCAGGCCTAAAGATAGTCATTCCAACACCAATACCGAGTGAGAAGAGCTATTGTCCTGGACTCTGACTTCTTCTATCGCAGTTCCAGACCAGTGCCTCAGCCTCCAGCTCTTGAGTTTCTAGTTCATTCACCAAATCCACAAGTATTTACTGCGTTCTAGCTTGGCAGGGGGTCCGTTTCCACACCCAGTGTAATGAAACCCACAAAGACCCTGGCTTCCCTCCTTTTGCCTGCTAGTGGTCTGAGCTAAAGCCGGGAATCCTTCTAATCAAGAGTTCCTTCAGCAGGTGGTTCTTGACCACCCACTGAAAGAAGGATATTTAGAGGCCTTTTCTAAATCATGCTTTGTTGTGTGCATGCATGTGTCAGAAGCAGGACTCATTCAGTAGTTGGTGCTGTGGGGGTGGCCTGTCCCTGCCCTTCTCACCTGTCCTGACTCCCTCAGGCTGCTTCTGAGAGATGAGGAAGAGGATCTTGATTGTGTGGAGGGACTGTCTTTATAATCAGCATTTACTTGTCTGGTCAAGAAAGGAAGCTGGGCTGTATGTGGTGGCACACGCCTATAATCCCAGTCTTTGGAAGGCGGAGGTCGCACATGGGGCTCACAGCCTCTGGGAACTCCACCTCCAGAGGAGCCTCCGTCAGTGCCTGCAACTCACGAGCACATACCCACAGACACACTCATGCATAGCTAAAAATTGATAAAATGAATGAAGACTGAGCAGGAGGATCGTGAGTTCAAGGCCAGCCTGGGCCATGTAGTGAGATCCCTAAAAAGAGATAAAGAGCCCACCCACTTGTTTTCTTTTCACTGTGGGGGGCAAGAGTCTGCGCCTGCCTCTGCTGTGTATGACACTGAAGCCTCTCGCAGCTCCCACTCTCACTCTCGGTAACTATTCTGTGTTCATGTATATGTTGCCCGCCTCAGCCTCCTGGCACCGTTCATCCTCTTAGCACTTACCAAGCACAGATGGTAGGCCAGGCCCCATGGGGATGGGGTGGGCAACGGGCTGCAGGGAAGGTGTCCCTAAAGATAGGGTATGGTGATGGTCTCCTCACTGACAAACAAGCCTTGTGGGCTGGGCACTGCAGCCTCTAAGCCTCTCCAACACTGACTTGATGGGTACATTTATTGCTTCTACAGTTTCTCAAGGATGTATTCAGTCTGGGAATTGACACAGGCTCAGCTACTTGGAAGGCTAGGGCAGGGGGAATCGTAGATAGGTTCAAGGCCTGCCTGAACTATAAAGTGAGTACATGGGCAGCCTGGGCAATTTAGCAACACCCTGTTCCAAAAGAAAAAGTAAAACGGCTAGTTATAGCTCAGAAATAGAACATTTGGTTCAATCCCAACTACCAAAAAAAGGGAGGACATTTTTTGAAAAGGGGTGGATCATTCTTAGAAATTCATGCCTTCCTGAGCTACCTGATCTCTATGGGTATGACAGAGGCAGGCTCAGACCCCACACGTGCCCCACAGTGGTCCTGTGCTACAACCCCTCAGCCCACACTCCCTTGTGCCCACAGGTTGCTTCGAGGAGATGCCATGGTGGAGCTGGGCCTCAACGATTACCTAGACATCTTCTGCCCACATTATGAAAGCCCGGGGCCCCCAGAGGGCCCTGAAACCTTTGCGTTATACATGGTGGACTGGTCAGGCTATGAGGGCTGCACAGCAGAGGGGGCAAACGCCTTCCAGCGCTGGAAATGCTCACTGCCTTTCGCCCCTTTCGGCCCTGTCCGATTCTCAGAAAAGATCCAGCGCTTCACACCCTTCTCGCTGGGCTTCGAGTTCTTGCCTGGAGAGACTTACTACTACATCTGTGAGTGAGCAGCTCATACTGCATGCCCTTTAGGGAGGGAAAGTGGGGGAGAAGAATGGGGTTCCTTGCCTTTGCTTTGTGTCAGGGACCCCTAAAGTAAGGAGGAAGGAAAAGCTGTAGGGGAGGGAGCTGGGGCTCCCAATGCTTAGAGAGTTGTGTTGAACCTGGACCGAGGTCAGGAAGAAGAGAGTGGAAGCCAGGAAGGACTGGGGAGATGCTGAGAGCCGATGGACTGGAACCTGGTGTGCCTCAAAAAGGCAGAGGGCTTGATATAGCCTAACAACAGGGGATGGTTTTCTGCACTGACTTCTTCCTCCCAATTTCCTACAGCAGTGCCAACTCCGGAGAGTCCTGGCCGGTGCCTGAGACTCCAGGTGTCTGTCTGCTGCAAAGAGAGCAGTAAGTGAGCCAGGGTCTCCTAGGCAGCCCTTCTAGACAGGCTGGGAAGGAGAAAAAGATCTAAGGGGGTCCAGGCAGAGCGTCAGGCTTCAGACCCTTCTCCCATAAGTC